TTAAAAATAAAAATTTAGAACAAAAGTTACAACAAAAGAGAAAATGACAAAATAATGAATAAAACATTACATTGTTTATAATATAATCATTTTTTTCTTACTAAATACTTAGGAAAATTAGATTTAAAAAGACAAATTATACAATTAGATTTTGTTTTTGTAAAATTTTGTTTTGCTCTTTTTGTGCAATCATTTCTCCTGACAATTGAATAAACTTCAAATTAATAAATGTTTGCTTAATTAATATTTAAGACAAAATATTTGTATATTGAAGTAATTAGCAGCATTTTACTTTGCCAGAATTATTTATAAACTTGATTACACAAGATTTTATCTCGAATTATATATTTTTTTTAAACATATGTTAAAAAAATCAACAGTAATTCTAAAAATGCTATTCATATTAGAACTTAAATTTTAATATAAACCAAGGAATACTTGAAATTAACAAGCTTTAAGATTAAATTAAATAAATAAAAGTTTAATGAGTCATTAAAAAAAAGAGAATTAAATAATTCAACATATTCCAAATTAAGATGAACATTTTATTCTAAAAAAATGCATGATTTATTTTATATATTACAATAAAAAAAAAGATGTTGAATGATTGAGTTACAGGAAATACTCTGCAGAGGATCTATGAGATCTATGGGATCAGAGAGAAGTCTGAAAGCTGTCACATCCGCATTTTAACTGATACCAGCGCCTCTAAATGCATAAGTGTGTGGCGGTCCCCCGCTCATACAACTAATACCTAGTAGAAACATACACGAAAAGACACCGTGGCCCGCACAGCGCAGTGGTAGCGCTCGAGACTCATACACCTGAGGACCACAGGTTCGAATCCCACTGCGGCCAACATCTTTTTTCCGTCACCAAAAATTCTACATCATATCGTGGACAACGCTCCTCCAACACCAAAGCCGCCGCCACAACTTGGTGACCCCGACGTGATGTGAACACGCAAACCTTCTGATCTTCACCCATCGAAATACAGACACGGCCTTATAAAGCCCGCTGCTTTCGATCACGTGACTCTCCTTGGCCAACCAACCATCGGACGCACTCGACTTGCCGAGGTCTCTCACACATCCTCCCTGTCCGACGTCCATACGGCCAGCCCACATCCACAACCCGGTACAGCCAGCCAATCACTGGACACCCTCGACTTTTTCAAGGTTACGCTCCAACCTCACTGTCGATGTCCACATGGCTCGCCCACGCAACGGAGAAGCAACTAGCGCACAAGAGTCGCAGCGGCAACTTGCCCTCCTCACATCGCGCATCACATATCTCCCTGGGCAGACACACCGGACAACGGGCACACAGAGAAGAATCTCGGAGCTTGTCCACTAAGGGGGGAGCCTGTGGCGGTCCCCCGCTCACACAACTAATACCTAGCAGAAACATACACGAAAAGGTGCCGTGGCCCGCACAGCGCAGTGGTAGCGCTCGAGACTCATACACCTGAGGACCACAGGTTCGAAACCCACTGCGGCCAACATCTTTTTTCCGTCACCAAAAATTCTACTATATATCGTGGACAACGCTCCTCCAACACAAGCCGCCACAGTTGTATGTGCTTATTTAAAATGATCTTAAATATAAGAATTGATTATGAATATGGGCCATACATTAATCTTTTTCAATGTCATTCAACTTCTCTGCGATACTTTATTTCAAGATGTCAAGCCGATTAAAATTCTTGCTGTTTTATCGATAAATGGAAAGGTATAATTTCGTTGATAGAAATACGTAGCTTGCACAACGATACATTACATGAATGCTGGAAAGAAAGATAATTTTCTTATCATTAATTTTAAAATTAATATGATCGATTGAGATTTTAATCTACTATCTATATATTGCCACTATATGTATACT